AAGAGAGAGAGAGAGAGAGAGAGAGAGAGAGAGAGAGACCCTTTATCATAAATTCACAATAAGCAGGTGGGCTTCTGATTTCTCTCAAGAAAAGAATCAAGAGAGAAAAACCTGTGTTGTTTGTTTATCAATGGCGTCTGTTATTGCATCATTTTCAGTTCGTTTTTTAATGTGAGGACTAATAAGTGTGTGTGATTGGTCGTTGTTTATAACAAGCCAGGGAAGAGAAAAGGGAGAGAGAGAGAAGAGAGCTCATACATTTTCTCTTTCTTTCTTTATCTCTTTCGTTCTCGTTGTGTCGTGTGCAATTGGGTTGGGCCTTGGCTAAGGATTGTAATAGAAACTTATCAAGGATTGTGATTTAGCTCTGAGATGGGCACTAATGGCAGGCTTGTGGCTGGCTCGCATAACAGGAACGAGTTCGTGCTCATCAATGCTGATGAAATTGGAAGAGTGAGTTCCTTTACACTCAGTTTGAACTGTTCTTGGTACAACTGTTAGTGTTGTTCTGGTAAAAATCTGCTGATTTTTCGTTGTTTTTTTTCTTATGGCGCCGCTTCATTTTGGTGTCGAGATTTTCGGTCTCAGATTTGTACTTCTCTTTCTTCAAGAAAGTAAAGAAAAATTCAATTATTGCTGCAGATCATATTTTTTTTTTTCCAGATTTATTAGTTTCTCTAAGCTCCCACTATCATTCTCACTGAATTAAGTGTTTTTTCTTTTTCTCTCATCACAAAGCTTCTGAATCTGTGAGAGTGAGTTGCAATGGAGATTTGTTTAATTTCTTGATCTGGGTCTATTTCTATCTCATCACAAACAATTAAGCAGTTCATCGATTTCCTCTGTCGGCAGGTGACTTCAGTGAAAGAATTAACCAGCCAGATTTGCCAGATTTGCGGCGACGAGATCGAGTTCACAGTCGACGGCGAGCCATTCGTGGCCTGCAATGAGTGCGCTTTCCCAGTCTGCAGGCCTTGCTACGAGTACGAGAGGCGGGAAGGGAATCAGGCCTGCCCGCAGTGCAAGACTCGGTACAAGCGCATCAAGGGCAGCCCGCGGGTTGATGGGGACGAAGACGAGGATGAGTTTGACGATCTTGAATATGAATTCGATTACAGTAATGGTAACGAGAAGAGAGATCAATTCTCCGAAGCTGGTTATTCCAATCGATTGGGACGTTCGGCTTCGGGTATCACGAATCAATCGGAGTTGGATCCTGTCAACTCTGAGATTCCTCTCCTTACTTATGGCCAGGAGGTAGATTTTGTTTTTTTTGTTTTAACTGGTTTTTGGATGAAAGATTCGATTTTTATCGAAAATGTTAGTGATATCTTGAGTTTTCTTGTTATGAAGGATGATACTATTTCAACTGATAAGCATGCTCTCATTATCCCTCCATTCGCGGGTCGTGGGAAACGAGTGCACCCGGTGCCGTATACGGATTCATCCATGACTTGTGGGTGTTTTGTGTTATTGTTGTTGATTTATTTTTCTTTTCTTTTTGTTATTTGTCGATTGATTTTCTTGATTGGGAGTTTGATTCATGAAGATTGTGATGTATTTTTGCAGTACCTCCAAGGCCTATGGATCCCAAGAAGGATTTAGCTGTGTATGGTTATGGCACTGTTGCTTGGAAAGAAAGAATGGAAGAATGGAAAAGAAAGCAAAATGAGAAGCTGCAAGTGGTTAAGCATCAAGGAGATGAATTTGATGATCCTGATTTACCCAAGTGAGTCAACTTACCCCCCTTTTTTTTTTCTTTTTCATTTTTAATTTATTATCTCCAAGGATTTAGCGCTGGATAGGAGCGCTTGGAGGCTAGCGATCAACGTGCCGGAACCGTGACTTTTGCTCATTTCTCTTTTGCTCCAATCTCTTCTTTTTGTTTTGTTTTGTTTTGAGCCCTTTTTTTGTGTTTCTCTTACCACTGTTTCTCTTGGGTTTCATTTCTAGCCTACCCAACTTGTTTGGGACTAAAAGGCTTTGTTGTTGTTGTTGTTGTTTCAATTTATTATTATTATTATTATTTTTATTATTATTATTATTATTATTATTATTATTATTATTATTATTATCATCATTATTATTATTATTTATGTTTTCTAGAGAGAAGAAGAAAAATAGAAAAAAAAAAAAGAACTTTTTCATGTGCTGGTTAGAGTGTCGGTGTGGACTGGCATTTATTTTTTTTTTTTCTTTTTCTATTTTATTTTCTTGTGTTTTCCGAATTTTATAATGTTTTATATAAAATTGCTCTCATTGGCTGGACTTATATATAGCTTTGGCAACTGCTACCTTATGTAGGCATTGTTAATTGCATGAAGGTATTAATAAATTTAAATTTAAGTTTGGTATTAAAAATATGTGCTAACAACACTAATTATTAAAGCCTTGATGGGCCATTTATGTGAAGTCTGTCTTGCTGTACATGAAAAAAAAAAAAAATGGTTTTGTTTTTCTTGGGGATAATTAACTATTAATTCTCCTTTGCACCACTAATCTATCTAATAATTCTCCTATCATTTAATATGCCATGTGAAAGAGGAGGAGATGCATTCAATTAAATGTAGTGATAGGATTGTCAAAGAATTTTGGGTTGTATAGGAACATTAATCATCTATCTATCTTATCTATAAAGGATGAATATTATACTTTCGAGCAACCAGTTGGGTTCGTGTCCGCTATCAGGTTATCTAAAATTTTCGAGCTTTAATCTGTGTGGAGCTATCGAATAAATCTGACACGTGCATTGGACAGTCTGTCTGCAATTTGTGTTTAGGGGACATGATGAAAAATGCATGCATATCGAAAAACGTTTGAGATTGTTTCAATGGATTCGTAGTGCATCACATAAAATTCAATTGTATATCACCTTAAACGTAAATAAATAATCGAATTCTAATTGCGTGCAAATGGAAGTCCAAGCTTTTGTGCAAAGTCGTCGCACGCTCGGTAAAAAAGGTTCAACTTGCATTTGCTTTTTACAGGTCGTCTCAAAGCTATATAAAACACTGTTAATTAATTATCTAATATTAAAACTTCGGTCTTATTCTTTATTTACAGGATGGATGAAGGCAGACAACCACTTTCGAGGAAGCTACCGATTCCTTCAAGCAAGATCAACCCTTACAGAATGATCATTCTACTGCGAATGGTGATCATTGGATTGTTCTTTCACTATAGAATCCTACACCCGGTCAATGATGCATATGGACTGTGGCTAACCTCGATTATATGTGAGATTTGGTTCGCTGTCTCGTGGATATTCGACCAGTTTCCCAAGTGGTTCCCCATCGTGCGTGAAACTTACCTTGACAGACTGTCTCTAAGGTATTTCTTTCTTCGTTTTTGGTTATAAATCGGCGAAAGAAAAATAAAAATTTTCTGGAAAATTTATTAGTAGTAACTTGTAGTTAATTATTAATGTTTGAAATTTTTTTCATCAGGTATGAGAAAGATGGAAAGCCATCCGAGCTGTCCTCGGTGGACGTGTTTGTGAGTACTGTGGACCCCATGAAAGAACCTCCTCTTATTACGGCAAACACGGTTTTGTCTATACTTGCTTGTGACTACCCAGTCGACAAGGTCGCGTGCTACGTATCAGACGATGGTGCCGCCATGCTTACATTTGAAGCGCTTTCCGAGACGTCCGAGTTTGCAAGGAAGTGGGTCCCATTCTGCAAGAAGTTCAGCATCGAGCCTCGTGCACCTGAGTGGTACTTTGCTCAGAAGCTCGACTATTTGAAAGACAAAGTCGAGCCTACATTCATCAGGGAACGTCGTGCAATGAAGGTATCACTTCCTTTTTTTCTTTTTTTCCTTTTATTGCTTATTTTCTTATACATATATAGTTATTGTTTTTTTCTATTTTTCTTTTTTTCTGTGAAAAAACAATGATGGGAGTCATTCTTAATGTAGAATGTGTTTTGGTATCAACTCTGAGAACTGAACTTTCTTGCCAATGCAGAGAGAGTATGAAGAGTTTAAAGTTCGAATCAATGCTTTGGTTGCTATGGCACAGAAGGTTCCGGAAGAGGGTTGGACCATGCAAGATGGTACCCTGTGGCCGGGAAATAATGTCAGGGATCATCCTGGAATGATCCAGGTATTATTTATTTGAGCATTTTGTTTGATTTCCTGCACGTGCAAGTAGGGATAATTACTTGAACTAACCTTAAGGTTTAGTGTAATTGAAAAATAACTAACTCGAGTTTATCTTCTAAAATTACTAGCCGATTGTCTTACAAATGCAAATGCTTCCTTTAAGGTTTTGTATTTGTTTTGCATACAAACTCATATTAGTTGCATTTCATAGAAAAATATCTAATTTTCAATGTACTTAGGCTAAACCTCAAGATTAGTGATTAAGTACGATTTTTATTAACCTTTGTGTTTGTCAACAGGTATTCTTGGGGCAAAATGGTGTTCGGGATCTCGAAGGGAATGAGTTGCCTCGTCTAGTTTATGTTTCTCGTGAAAAGAGGCCTGGATTCGAGCACCACAAGAAAGCTGGTGCTATGAATGCTTTGGTATTTGTCGTTCTAACGACTTTACAGTTTTACTTATTTGTAAATGAGCGGAATTTTGATCCGTAATTTATTTTTTTACAACCACAGATTCGTGTCTCGGCTGTCATATCAAACGCACCTTACCTTCTTAACGTCGATTGTGATCACTACATAAACAACAGCAAGGCCCTTAGAGAAGCTATGTGTTTCATGATGGACCCTCAAGCTGGCAAGAAAATATGTTATGTGCAGTTTCCACAGAGATTTGATGGCATCGATAGGCATGATCGTTATTCAAATCGCAATGTCGTGTTTTTCGATGTAAGATTCCTTCTGTTTTTTTTT